GTAGGAATTAACCGATAGGAATGGACCAATAATTCTTTTAGGATATTGGATCAATATTCTTACAATATACGAATAATGATTTTATGAACAGAAAGATTCGTTACAAAAGGGAAGACCGGTGTCAAGCAAGGTTGCTTACACTATCACCACCCTTTCTCATTCTACTGGTAATCAGTTGATTGGATTATGACAACATCAACAATTCGGAAGGGAAGCAAGGGAATATACTGGACAGCTTAGCTAGGATGCATCTGAACGAGTACACCTTAGTTGGTAAACGAGAGCGAAGACAAATGATACAGTTACATGATAGGCCCCACTAAGTAGAGGAAGAGGTCTTGACAAGACGTAGAAAGTCTATTCTACAAACATCCAGAAAATTGAGGTACACAAGCACATAAATTGAGTTTATTTATACATGATAGAAACGTCCATGAGAGAGCCACAAAAATAGCGTACTAAAATAACACATCAACCAATGACAGTCAAGGATCATCCGGGTGGGAAATGTAATCTCAAGGTCAACGGATAAGCCTACGTGTGAAAGCATGAAATCCAAAATTAAGACATTTATCAAGTGAGCTCTGGGGATCTAACGTCCCCAACACATACAATACAACGTGCACCAACCAAATCACACTTGACAATGAAGCTTTGGAGGATGGAAAAAGCCTTACATATCTGGGCTGCATCATTACTGAGCAAAATGGATCTGACGCGGATTGGGAAAGTAAGGACTCCATTTCTACAATCGAACAACATCTGGAAATAAAAACAACTATCAACTAACACCAAAGTCACAATTTTCAATACATATGTCAAGAAATTTCTACTGTGCGTGGCAGAAATTCGGAGAACCACGTAAGCCATCATTCGGACCACACAAGTATTTAGTAACAGGTGCCTACGCAAAATACTTAGTACCCATTGGCCAGACATCATCAGCAACAACCTACTGTGGGAGAGAACAATCCAGATTTCAGTGGAAGGAAGAACACTGGAGGTGGATAAGACAACAATTGAGAAAATTATCCAACTGTGACAGAAGGCAAGCTTTTATTTGGGATCTTTAAAGCCAAAGGAAAGGAGGAAGACTACAAGCACAATACCTCGAGAATTGAAATCAAAATGAACACCAATCGGGTAGAAATGGAAAGGAAAGCCGAAGATAGAATAAATTGGAGAATGTTGGTTGGCGGGCTATGCTTAACTAGAGAGGTAACAGGCGTGAGTTTCAGGAAAAAATTACGAATAAACAGAGTTGTTAGTTATGAGCTACTACAGAGAGACTGCAACTCGTAACGATGCCCTATTGTTTTATCGATTAGACCTTTAGGGTTAAAGGTTCAAAGAATGGTGTTCATTTGTCTCGAAGTTTCTGACTGACTTTGGTGTGGGGTCGATAGTTGCTTTTGGTTGCAGATGTTCTTCGATTTCAGCAATGCTGTCCTAAGAATTTTGAAAAACTAATGTAAAAACTAGAAAGCATCGGCATATTTGTTTTGTGCCTTACTACCACATGCTTTGAATGTTTGCAGTCAGTCATACAACCTCAACAAGAGATTGAATTCCAAAACAATTAGAGTTCATGCTACATGTGGCACTTTTCTAAGAAAATTTATTTGCGAATATTAATGTTGCATATGTTCAAATCAACTCCATTTCATAGGATGATGATCGTCGTCATAGAATTCGTTCAACAACTGGAGCAACTAATAACTATTGTTCCGGCTGAAGGTTCGTGTACTGAATTACATAACGCCTTTCATCCATTATTGCATAATGATATTTATTCGGAATATTTTAGTAGAATCTATCACATCGTTGACTGTAATCAAATTCTCTAACGATGATGCCACAATGTTGGGAACGTTAGATCCCCAGAACTCACTTGATAAAGGTCGTAATTTAGGATTTTTATGCTTTCGCACATGGGCTTATCAGTTAAATCCGTGACTGTTATTAGTTGATGGGTTATTTTAGTACGCTGATTTTTGTGGCTCTCCCAACGACGTTTCTATCTTGTATAAATAGGCTTGATTTGTATGCTTTGTCAACTTCATATTTTCTGGGTGCTTGTAGAATAGACTTTCTACGCCTTTATCAAGACTTCTTAATCTAGTTAGCTGAGCAGGGGACTGTTACGTTCGTCACTAGGCACGCTTGAAGCTATTACGAGTTCACCTTAGTCGATAAACGCGAACGAGACAATTACCAGTGTCCAGGTAGGCTACCTTGAATCCCAAACTGCAAAACAGAATTCTTGTTAAGCGTAGAAAGTATATTCTACAACACCCAGCAATCACACAATACAATCAAGCACACAACTCTCGTTTATTTATACATCATAGAAACGTCCTTGGGAGAGTCACAAAAATAGCGCACTAAAATACACAGCAGCCAATGACAGCCATGAATTTTTCTGGTGGGATATGAAATCTCAGGGTCAACTTATCAGCTTATGCTCGCAAACGTGAATTACAAGATAAGGCGTTTATCAAGCGAGTTCTAGGGATCTAACATCCCTAACACGGACAAACGGATTCAAATAACCTATTGCGTCACTGCATCAACTGTCGTCGCTCCGTTTACCGACTAAGGTGAACTTGTAATAACGTTCACGCCTATCAATTGGTGAGCATATCAGTCTCATACAACTTCCTACCAAGACAATCGTAGTGATAGCAGCCTCAGCAGCAGCAGCAACCACAGTATTAGCTGTAATTGTATTAGTAGACATAATAACACGAATACAAATACTAATACTACTACTACTGTGGTGCGCGCTACTTATAAGTAGTATATGACGCGAGTAAAAACGTAATGTCTGACAGCAGATGATGGGAGAAGATCAAGAAAGGAAGACCGGGAACACAATGGGATTTGTATGAAACGCATGAACAGTGTGAAATGTCAGACAATGGATGTTTGATGTTTTGCAACAGGAACAGTCCAGTTCGATATGATGGATTGATATTTTGCAAATTAACAATTTACGATATCGTTTTTCTATTTTACCAATTAACTCTGTATAATTTGAGATAAATGCAATTCGGATGCCCTCACCTGTGTTCTCCTTCACTACACTACTACTAATATTAGTAATAAGAATGATAATGTTAATAACCAAAGAATAGTGCAAAAGTTACATTGATAAACAATATCCCATCTTGGATGATGCTCATTTCAAAAGGAACGAAACAACTCTCTAACCATAGTATTCATTGAACAGAGAGAATGTGGCATATGGCAAATCACTTATTCGATTGTCATAGTCAACCTAGTTGGACAAGTCAACATCATCATATACATCATCCTACATATACTACTAATATCAGTAGTCAATTTGTCAAAAGAAAAAAAAGCAACTTACATAATGCTTGTTTAATAAAACCGGCAACTTTTGATTTCACTGCGCATGTTCTATAGATGCCTTCATTTTGAAGACCTAAAAAAAGAAGGGCACAAAACGAAAAAAAAGGGAGCACAGTAGTAGCTGACATGAGAATGGATAATTTTTTGAGTACATCGGGATGAGCCTGCTGCGCAACAAAACAGTTCTCTCCATCCTACCATATGGGTGTAAAGCATGGCTAGGAAGTGCAGAGGAGAATTAAGTAAGCAATGCTTTGTTATTAGGAAAAGAATACAAGATAAGATTGAGAGAGCAATGGATGAAGTAGGTGAATGTTCATCAATTGAGGTGGTTAGGACATATGCTACGTATGACCAAACATCAACTGTTTTGCTCAGTGATGTTTTGGTGATGTAGGGGTAGGTTCAGTCAGTCAGTCAGTCAGTCAGATGCAACGTAGAACTTCGTACGTAAGTACATCAGTTCATGTTGCCATACCAAATCAACACAGAGATATAATTGTCAATTCAAATCCAATAGTAGTAGAGGTAGTAAAGGTATTAGAAGTAATCGGAGAGGTTGGGATTAGAAGATATTATTCAAGAAGTATGATTCAGTGAGATAAGTTTAGAAAGACAAGACTAGAGGTGTTGAAGAATTCAGAAGATTTGGTAGGGGTAGGTTGGAAGAAAGCTAATGACGGCCACAGAAAAACATGACACAAATCCATGAAGTCACTGACATGTTCTAGATGTAGACTACCCGGTTGGGGTCCGCGAGACAATAGTGGTCGATGGTTAGGAACTCCTTCGACTAAATGTACTACTATCGGATCTGAATCGGCAACTTAGCGCTCTTAGTGCTTATGTGATATTTCAACTTGAACTGATGTAGGTACTCCTATGAAATTCTACGTTGTAGCTAACTGACTGATAAATTTGTATTTACAGTTTAAAAGAACTGCATAATTTACAGCAGATTCATGCATTTAACATTGATTTCATGCATTCCAGTTTGTTTTGAATTTGTGTCCGGAATAAAGAACTTTTTGGAAGATTGCAATGAGGGTTCGACAAGAATGGAGAGAGTGCGCATCCCCGACGAACACCACTTGAAGTAAAGAATTCCGGTGACAGTTCGCCATATGCTGTCACGCGACCAGTGGTGTTCGAGTAGAGTACTTGTATAAGGTTAATGTACTTCTTCGGTACACCTTTCAATGACAGACACTGCCACAGAACCTCACGGTCCACTGAGTCGAATGCTGCCTTAAGGTCCAGGAAGACAACTATTGTAGGACGCCTCAATGTGTGTCTGTGTTCTAGGACGTGTCTTAGTGTGAAGATGTGGTCTATACAGCTACATCCAGGTAGAAAACTAGCCTGGTTTTCTCTTGTCTGCTCTTCACGAGCTTTCATTATGCGTCGAAGTATTATTGAGGCCAATATTTTTGATACTATATTAGTTAAGTTCATTCTCCTGTGATTGTCACAAGAGGACTTTTGTCCTTTCTTGTACATTGGGACAATTAGCGACTGAGACCAGCCAGATAGGATTACGCCCAGTTCCCAGATTCAACCTAAGATCTCGGTCAATCTAACTGTTACAACTAGACTACCATCCGTTAAAATCTCTGGGGTAGTTCTGTCAAGCCATGAAGCTCACCTTCGCTTCAGATTTCCCGTAGCTTTCTCAACTTCATAAAGACTAGGAGGACTTATGTCGATTTGCGATTCAGGATGACTGGAGATTGGGGTCAACCGAAGAGTGGCTCGTGGCCAGTTGAACTGCCGCTTGAAGTGCTCTGTCCATCGATCCAATCTCCTGGATTGAAAATGAACAATAAAGCCATCCTTTTCTGAGATGGTCTCACTAACAACCGGATTCCTAATAACGGTTTCCTTGATAAGTCTGAACAGTTTTCTACTGTTGCCTATCATCGCTGCTTTTTCCATCTCTCTGGCTGTCGTTACCGACCATTGTTCGAGATCATCGCGTAAGCTGTTTATCTGCTTGCGCTCCTCGTCATAGTTACAGCCAGGTATGATGAGTTTTCGATCATCCGTCAGTTCGGTAGATGCTACTGAAACCCACTATTTCTCCCTAACCTTACTAGCAAATAACACTGCTGTTTCCACAACTTCCTGGATATCATGTCAAACTGCTTCAAAGTGGCCATCACTTACGTAGCTATCCAACTGTTCCTCTCAAAATATACTATCGTCTTTGTTGTCGTTAAAACAAATCCTAAAAAGTTATCTTACAATAAATACTTGCATATTTATTCCGTTTATTATCATCGCAAATCACATGAACACAAACTACTGCTGTTGACTAAATATTATTTATTATTAACCACAAGGTTGTCTAACTTTCAATCAATTAACACGTAGACAAAATACAACACACACACACATCACAAATAAAAAATGTAGTGTACAATAATACCTAGTCAATAGTTTTACATTTAAGGTTATTGTAATCATGACAAGACAAGGTACTGTTTTATCACCTAACCAATCGGAGTGTCAATTCATACTTTGTGCAGACATGTATATGATAAAATATCTGTTCATAAAAGTGTTGCTAAACGCACACACGCACACACAGACACAGACACAAACACATTATTCAATGATCAATACATATAAGTTTACGACGGTACACAGAAAAATTGCTTACCAATTTTTTCAATGGCATAGATTAAGTCCGATAGAAATTCATAACTTTTCTCATTGAACTCAACTACAAAAAAAAGGGAAAGCCAAATGATAAGAACAGATTTACACACACACATACAAAGGAATGGGAAAAGTGCAGTCATCGAATGAAGGAAACGTTTAAATGGCAAGAGATATGATCAATCAGTTGGAAATCATGGTCAAACCATGTAGCATGCTGAATGACCTTGACTGACCACCATCTTATCAATCATTAAAAAAACAATCAAATATCAGTGGGATAAAAAGTTTACACTTGAATAATCAATTGAATTATTCGTTTTCGTGTGAGGGAAAAGATTAAATTTGCCTATTTAAAATTCAATTAGTGTTAGTTAGTTTTTGTCATTATCTGGTTAAGATTTAGAAAAAAATTAGAATTAGGCTGGAAGATTTGTGAGTTTGGTTTTTTAGCACGAACTGACACTAGTTATGCTGTATAATGCTTTTTCATTTCATTGTTTACAAACTTAAGTGACTTATCGTTGAAATTTTCAAAAAGGGTTAGAAATGAAGGATATAATCCAGTTGGATTCACTAAACACTCTTGACAACGCATCGGTTTAAAACAAAATCATTACGACATACGATTTGTCTTTAGAGCAGCGATGTTCCGTATTAAAGCTTACGCACCATCTTAAATCTATCTGAATCTGCTAGATGGATCTTCCGTATGCACGAAACTCAGTTTAACAACCCGTTGGACAGTCACTTTACATATTTTCAACTGACAAAAAATTTTCCTCTCACAATAAACCAGTCAGTAGGAATTTCCAAACTACATGACAGAGAGAGAGAGGCGGATAGTGCTCACTTCCCCGACAGTACTAGGACATTCAAAGGTACCAACTAATGCAACATCAATTCATCAATTAAAAATTTTCAACTTTCTACTACTAATAGATTCCATCCTTGATCGTTTTGATCAAGACAAACAGTCATTTGATGAGAAAACTAAATCGAACAGTAAAAATAGAAACATAGCGAAATGAAGTAACATTATCGTGCTAAAACATACTACAATAATAACAGACGAAATCAACACATTTATATTTAGAACAACATATATAAGCGAACAATATTATTGTTTTCGATTAGATCGTCATCAGGCTTTACTCTTCAGTGTACATGAATATTTATATGAAAATGTTAAACCAATAAAGGCAATATGAGTGATAATCACAATGAAATGATTGAGGTATACGATCCCGTCTCCTACACATAGCAGAAGCCATAGGAATTCGTACATTCAATCCCAACCTATGGGTTTAGAAGAAATTCGTGACACCCCTATCTCTTCCGTGGCCGGATATGACGTAACTAACGATTGACATTATATTTTTTATTTTATTTTTATTTTTACACATTTGCTGATTACGTAATGGTTTTGATGTTTTTTAATGTTTATTTGAAGTCTATTCATCTATCCACCTTTGACCTACTATTGATAAAACTTTAGTGATCATATTTTATAATTTTCTTACTACTCTCAGTACACCTCTCGTCCTACTATCCACTTGTACTTTTGCCTATTATGCGTATAGTGACGTAATCTATTTCACATTTCATTGTGATTATTGACTCAAATTGCCGTGATCCGGTTAACATTTTCATCATAAATATTCATGTAAATGAGAGTAAAGCAGCCTGATGACGATCTAATCGAAAACAACAATATTGTTCGCTTATATGTGTTGTTCTAATTTTCACAATGAGAATCTTTAATACTCTTAAAACATTTATATTTACATGAGGTTGGGCAAAACCATGAACTGATCGAAGTTAGACATTAACGCCGTTAGATACCGGCTTAGTGGTCCAATGGTCAGGCGTTCGTGCACAACACCAAAGCCCCCTGGGTGATTTCGAATCCCGCGAGCTGCGGAAGTGGTTGGTGGATGTGCACTGTTGATGAGTCACATACTAGAACGAAACAGCTGTCTGATTGTTAGGATAGTCATCTAATATCCTAAGAGAATTATTGGTCAATGCCTATTGGTTAATTTCTACTGGTCAATCTTATGGTCGTCCTAGATATCAATGTCATATGCTCCATTTTTGTTTCTTATTGGTTGTCCTGACTATCAATATCACTTCAAATGTTGCTTCCTATTGGTCGTATTAACTGTCAATGTCACAGACTTCGATGCTGTTTCCTATTCAACCTAAATGTATAAATACGCATTATCTGTAACTTTTTATGACCAGGACCCGGTTCCGGATCCCTGGTCCGGGATCCTGATTCTCCTCTGTACTCGGACCTCGTACTTTCTGGATGCTTGTAGAATACAGGTTCTACTTCATATCAAGTCTTGTCTTCTTATTTTTACTAAATATGGGGGTTGGGATAATCGGATTTGAGTAGCATGTCGTGTCACCGGATCCTCGCTCTCGTATTCCGACTATGGTAAACTCGTACTAATTCAAGTATATCAAGTTGACGTGTTTATGTGCAGGTATAACACTAATGCTTACACAAATCTTATGGTTGTCTAACAATGATCAATTCATGATTTCAAACAAATACAACTAAAAATATCTAACATAAATGATAATAATGAATACAAATAGTTAATCATTGATAAAAAAAACATGAAGTAAACATTGACGTGTATTTGTTTCATTGGCTGTTTCAACATGAAACCAACAACAACAACATGCATAAAAAATGAATTGGTTGATAAATTGATTCATACTGTTAAGTGTGAAACATCTCATTATTAATTCACTGTTCACTGGTTTATAATGATAGGTGTGAATAATTACTAGCAGTAGTAGTAGTAGTGTGAAAAGTATCAGTAGTGGTAGTAGTAGTAGTGTGGTGGTGTGGTGCGAACTACTTATAAGTAGTATATAGCGTGAGTGTCAACTTAAAGTCTGGTAGCATAATATGGGGGGAAGATCAAGAAAGGAAGAGTCAGAAAACAATGGAATTTGTATGAAACGCATGAAGAGTGACAATGGATTGATGTTTGGCAACAGGAACAGTCCAGTTCCATAGGATGAACTGATCTTTTGCAAATGAACGATTTACGATATGTTTTCCGATTTTACTGAGTAACTCTGTAATTTTCGATAAATACAATTTGGTTGCCTCCACCTGTGTTCTCACTCACTACAGTAGTAGTGGTAGGAGTAGTAGTAGTGTAGTGAACGAGAACACAGGTGGGGCAACCGGATTGTATTTAACGAAAATTACAGAGTTACTCAGAAAAAAATTGGAAAACCATATCGTCAATCGTTAATTTGCAAAATATCAGTTCATCATCATATCGAACTGGACTGTTCCTGTTGCAAAACATCAATCCATTGTCACTATTCATGTGTTTCATACAAATTCCATTGTGTTCCCACTCTTCCTCCTTTCTTGATCTTCCCCAATCTTCTGCTGCCAGACATTACGTTGACACTCACGTCATATACTACTTATAAGTAGCTCACACCACAGTAGTAGCAGTAGTAATAGTAGTAGTAAGGGTAGTATATCAATACGGTGATTCATTGGATAGCTCAATGATCAATATTAGACATTTAATATGAAAGTATTGGTATAAAAAGTGCACAATTGTGTTGAATTGCATTAAAAATTATGAATTGATCAATGTGAGAACATTATTAGTAGCTTGGAAAGACTGTATGAAACTCATTAACAGTGCGTAACACGACTTTGCGAGCGAGAATCAAATCAGAGACCCTTGTTCTCGCACCACGCCAATGTTTAATCGCTTAGCCATTGAGACGAAATTCAACGATATAAGTGTAACTAACTTGAATCTATTCACAATACTACAAGCTCTTGGATGCACATTGTTTATGATTTTCAAAACGTAATGGTCATCCAGTGCCTCCAGCATTCTGAAGATGGTCTAAAATTGATCAATTCATAATTTCAATGATACTGAAGTAATCGAGATGTGGTGTGTGAGATCTGAACGCGATAGGCGCTAACTTCCTAAAATGGACTACTCGAACAAGAAACCTAAGAAGGCAAGAGGAAGTCTAGTTGGTTATCGAATCATTCGTATATACATATACATTTCTTCTCTTTAGAAAATGAATCTATTTCTTGATTGAGGACATTTCTAAATGACATCAAATCGCCTTCGTAATTAGACTATTCCCTGATTAATTGACTATATTATTTTCTAACTAGTGATGATGTAACTATCCAAATAGAAAGGTGGTTGGGATATGTTTTACGAATGCCCAACCACCGACTGCCTCGACGAGCGATACTTCGTCGGATTCGTTGGCCGGACACCATCAACAACAACCTTAGTGTGAAATTCCATATTCCAGCTAAGTAAGAAATGAGGAAAAAGCACCAAATCACGAGGCAAACCCTCAATTGAAATCTTCAAGGCCAAACAAACACACTGCACCAACAATGGAAGGCAGATATGAAAAGAATGAACAACAATTGGATAGATCTAGGAAGGAAGGCCCAGGACCGAGTAGGTTGGAGAATGTTGGTAGGCAGTCAATAATCCATTGATGGGTAACAACAAACCAGAGTAATTTGCATTACGGGGTTGTGAAGATTGTTAAGTTACACATTTTTGAATCCATGAATCGATCAATGTTAGACCACACCATTAGAAACCTGGAAGCACTGGACAATGGCCGTTTCGTCCTGGTATGTGACTCCTCAGCAGTACGCATACACGACTCTTGCACCCCGCAGGATTTGAATCCAGGACCTTCGGTATTGTAGGCGAACGCCTAACCATCGGACCACTGAGCCGGTATCTAACGGTGTTAATGTATAACTTGATCAATTCATGGAGTTGCGCAACCTCATACACAGTCTTCGATAGTTACTGTCTACATCCGAAAAGATTGAACTTCACTGGTCACGTCTTCCTACTAGAACTCGGAGAAGATTCCTCATGAAGCTAGTCACTAGTGAGCACAGGTAATTTGCATTACGGGTTTGTGAAGATTGTTAAGTTACACATTTTTGAAACCATGAATCGAACCGTCCAGTGCTTTCAGGTTTCTAATGGTGGTCTAACATTGATCGATTCATGGTTTCAAAAATGTGAAACCTAAGTAAGTAACATTCAATCTGAAGTTGTGCTGATGATGTTGTTCAAAAGAACAATGAATACTCCACAACCAAATCAACCAGCTCAGAAAACAAAACATCACCAGAAGTAACATTCTATGTGATTTCTTTGATAGATTCCCATAAATTTTTCACTATCATAGTTCATTAACATCGAGAATGGTGAAAAGCTATTAATTGAATTAACAGAATTCGAACAACTGGATTTTAACTTGATATTCTATAGGTAATAACATTTGTCGTAATATTTTTTTTGGATTCAACTATTAGAATTTTTTATTGTCTGAATTTTTTTAATTTATTCAGAAACATCTGCCAAATGCGTAGCGATTTGTGTAACCTGGAACCACTGAAAGACGATCGTTTCGTCCTGATATGGGAGTCATCAGCGGTGCACATCGACGACTCCTGCTAACTCGTACGAATTCAACCCATTCGGGTGTAGGTTCGGAGGTTAGGCGTTCATGCACAAGACCGAAGGTCCTGGGTTCGAATCCTGTGAGTGGCAGGAGTTGTGGATGCGTACTGCTGACCGGTCTCATACCAGGACGAAACGGCCGTCTTTCAGTTCTCCTAGATTTCTAAAGGTGGTTTCACAATGATTCATTCATGATTTCAGGAATGAAAATCAAGGTATCAGAGTGAAATAATAATAAACATCTCGTGGACCCCAACCAGAGATTCATGCGGGACTGACAGATGTCAGTCCATTAGAGCTTCTTTTCTGGCCGCAAAATAATATCATACACTAACTACCTTTTCATCTTTTAAAACAGTTCGAGCGTGGGAGAAAAAATGAACGATGTGGAATTCGCAGCGACGAAATTAGTAGTATATGACAATCAACACTACTTACAAATAATCCTTAAACAAAAACATCTTGTCATAGTAGAATTATAATCAATCAGTTGGAAAAATCATGATCAATTTAAATGGATAGTTGCTATTCTGTGGAATCCAGTACATGCGGCTCATCTAATTTAAGACTATTCATCAGCTAGATTCACCTACATCGCTAAATTAATGTTCATTATTGGTAATTGAGAACCAACTACCACCGTTCGCTATAAACATTATCACGATATCCACCAAATTATTGAGTTCTAAAATAAACACTGCCTAGTTCAAAGTTCAATTATTTTTTTCGTTCAATTGATTTGAACAACTAATACAAATGAATTACTGATCTTAACTCTGTTGAACAAGCGATTGGCTATCTATGCTCTGAAGTTGCCATAGACGACGCAATAGCGTTTAAAGCTAATAGTACTGAATTCAAGTCCTGATCAACTCTAGACTACAGACGCATTCAGCTGACAGAACGCAAGTCCTGGACTTCACTATTAGTCATCATCTATCTCTGTTGATAATGCGCATGTTAGGAGGCAAACGAAACGGAATGCGCAAACGCCCAAGATATTGATTCGTTTTCAAACCCAAAAAACATCAGTGAGAAGATTTAATAACCCGAACTAAATGTATCAAAAATTAAGAATCAATCCAATAACGTTCAACAACGGATGATCATTATTGTCACCCTTAAAAAGAAGAAAAAGAATATTTCACTTACTTTTATCAGATTCACGTATGCATACATAACGATCTTTATAAATCTATGAAAAGATAAAACAGAATTTTCGATAAGTATTACATAATATAAAAATCAACTAATTGAACAATCACAAATAAACATACACAAAGATGACTACTACTGTGGTGCGCGTTACTTATAAGTAGTATAGGACGCGAGTGTAAACGTAATGTCTGGTAGCAGAAGATGGGGGAAGATCAAGAAAGGAAGAGTGGGAACACAATGGAATTTGTATGAAATGCATGAATAGTGAAATGTCAGACAATGGATTGATGTTTTGCAAATTAACGATTTACGATATGGTTTTCCTATTTTACCGATTAACTCTGTAATTCTGGATAAATACAATTCGGTTGCCCTCACCTGTGTTGGGGATGTTACATCCCCAGAACTCGCTTGATAAATATCTTTATTTTGGGTTTATTTCATTGACCAACCAGTTGACCTTGAGATCACATTTCCCACCAGGAAAATTCTTGGATATGATTGGTTACTGTAGTATTTTAGTGTGCTATTCTTGTGACTGTCCCAAGGACGTCTCTATGGCGTATAAATAAACACAATTCGAGTGCTTGGATTGATTGTATGCTGGCTGGGTGTTTGTAGAATACACTTTCTACGCTATATCTAGACTTCTTGCTGATACCTTTTGATCAAGGGATCACAGTAGCCTACCTGGATGCTGATTCATTGTTTTGTTCTCGTTATTCGACTAAGGTGAACTCTTAATGGTTTGAGCAAACCTAGAGAGACGAGTATAACAAAAATACACGCCATATCAGTGTGAAAGAGATTTTGAAAACACTGATCAAGCTGGTACCTAGCAGCCTCCTACTACTAAGGCAAAGATCATGAGATGGTTTTTGAAGCAAACAGTATTACGTTCAAGGTTGAAAGCGATAACTAAATAATTTTTCTAACATATATACTATTCGTTGACTATTTTTATCCACTTAGTATATTATAGAGAGAGTATAAACTGAGTCAGTCAGTTACCACATAGAACTTTGTACTTACGTACATATCAATTCAAGTTGTCCTACCATATTAGCACAGAAATGTAGATCTCATAGTGGTGAAGGTAGTATTAGTAATAGTGTTAATGCAAAAGATCAGGGGTTCGAAGAAATTATTCAGATAATTGAGTCAAATGAAGGGAATTCAAAGAGGGAAAGCTAAAGGTGACTAGGGATTTAGATGATTAGAATTTGCGAGAACACAAAGAGTGGATGCACTGGTGCCACTGCAAACGACTTTGAGCCATATCATTCAAGGTCTCTAACCAGTAGTGACATACATCTCGCGGACAGCAACATGACTCAGTCCACTTGTCAGTGACTTCATGGATTTCTGCGATGCTTTGGTTTGGCTACCCCTAACTTTCAGACATTGCTCAACTAGGCAGCTGGTGTTTGAGCATACTTAACACATGATCTAGCCACCTCAACTGATGGAGTTTCAATACTTCATCTACTGATTTGCCATCCATACCTTGTACTCGTTTCCAAACGACAGCATTGCTTACTCGGCTGTCTCACGATACTCGAAAACTTCGATAATCGAATACTAATAACCTAAGAATTTCCTTTACTCTCACCGGCCACTTTTCGTAACCATATAGTAGGATGGAGCGAACTACTGTGCAGTACACTGGTCCTTTGGTTAGCAAGCGGATATCTCCCCTACGCCATAAGTGACGAAGATTGGCAAAAGCCAATCGAGCCTTCTGTATTCGAGCTGAGATTCCATCAGTCACCAGGCCATCAGCACTGATCAGACTTCCCAGATACGTGTAGTGGTCTACACGTTCGACTACTTCACTCGCTATCACTAGTTCAGGTGCTGATGCAACCTAATCTTGAAGCGAAATTTTGCATTCCGAAGGTGAGAACCGCATCCCAAATATGTTTGCATTGTTGCTTAGGGTAGTCACAAGACACTGCATTTTGTCAGCGTCTTCACTGAATAGGACTTCGTCATCAGCATAATGTAAGTCAGCAAACGTGTCTCCTAGTAAAAGTCCCACTCCTCAAAAATCAGACGATGATAAATTACAACTCTAAAAGCATATCTACGACAAATTTAAACAAGAATGAACAGAGTCGACAGCCTTGACGTACACCAACATGTGGTAACCAAATTCCGATGACTAAAGTTATGCAGTTTCAAAACAAAACTATCTCCGACCCATTAACATACAAATAAAACTACAACACACTAAACTTACTGGCTCTTTTCCATCCATCACAAGTAACCATTCATGTAGATCATCTAAACATTGTGCTTGCAAAGTAATTGGAGATGATCTGTTTTGTGTGTGCACAGAGAAAAAATAACAATAACATATGAAATAGTTCAATGTAATGTAAACTTGAATAATAAACTAAACATCATATTTTAAGATGATATGGCTTGAGTTGGAGTGAGAATCAAGAAAACTACTACTACGTGAAATTCTGTCGAAACAATAATTGTAATTATACAGTATGACAAACATCTTATTCTGAATAGATTTGATATCTTTGAGTACTTGATATGTGATATGCTCGTCACATGATAGACTTCAATGGTATGACGAGTTCACCTTATTCGGTAAACATGGCGAAAAGCAATAACTCTCTGACACAATAGGCTATTCGAATCCATTGGTCCCATGCCCGGCTAATTGTATCAAGAAATCTTGATAATAAGGCGTACAGAGTGTATTCTACAAGCAACAAATCGAGCTTATTTATATACCATGATAGAAACGTCCTTGGGAGAGCCACAAAAATACAGCGTACTAAAATAATCCATCAACCAATGAAAGTCATCGGTTTTCCGATGGGGAAACTGTGAGCTGAAGGTCAACTGGCACGAAAACATGCAATTTTCAATATTTCTGAATAAAATTACAAAATAAGAACATATTCCAAGTGAGTTCTGGAGATCGAACGCGTCCTCAACAAAAATGATTCACTGCATAATACTTTTAACTTCCTTTTAAGCGCCAACGCTTAATCTCTGGATCACTGAACAAGCATCAAACGGTGTTAATGTCTAACTATGATGAATCGAAGGATTTTACGCAACTTCACCTATTGTCTTCGGTAGTTACTGCCTCATACCCGACAAGGTTGAACTCCTACAAGTTAGCAGGAGTCGTGAATGAGCACTGCCATTGATGAGTCTCATACAAGGGTGAAATGGCTGTCTAGTACTTTCAAGTTTCTAATGATAGTCTAACAATGATTTTTTTCCATGATTTCATAGTCAAGTATATTTATGTGAATTTAAAAACATTCTCCTATTGTAGTAGATACTACTCTCAATGTGTCTTTTAAGTAGTATGCAGCGGAGTGTCATTGAAAAGTTATGACCAGAAAGCAAAGAGTCATAGCCGAAAGTATGATACAATCAAAGTAGTTTAAAGAAAACTACACACAATAATTTCATCTAGTCTTGAAACCTCTGTTCTTACGTACGGGGCGGAAACTTTGGAGAACTACAAAAGCCATCATCCACAAGATACAAGTGTTATTTTGCAGTTGTCAACGCAAGCTACTCCACATCCGTTGGCCAGATACTAATAGCAGCAACCTACTATGGCAAAGAACAAACCGTATTCCAATAGAGAAAGAAATTAGGAAGACATCTTCAACTGAAATCCTCGAAGCTAACGGAAAACGACAGTAAGGCTTTGGAGAACATTACACTGAGAAATGGAGATAGACATGAAGAGAATGAACAACAATTGCACAGAAATAGAAAGCAAGTCACAGAAAGAGTAGGTTGGAGAATGCTGGTCGGACTGCCTACGCTACATTAGACGTAAGTAAGTAGGTTAGTTAATCTTCATGCCAACATTCACCACAGCACTGCATGCATGGACTTTGTAAATCTGATTACTGTCATTTATAGCTCAAAATCTAACATACCTTAACCTGTATTCTTTTCCATTGCTATAATGAATAAATCAATATGCAAAAATATACATTAATGATTATGTGAAATACAGAAAAATGGATAATTTGATTGGCTGGTGGCATCTCGTCAGTACACATTTTTTTTCTTGTTTTGTTCTTCTCTTATCTAATTCTCCCTCGTCATTCATTCTTGTTACCTCTAGTTGCTCCGACAGAGCATAAAAGTAACTTCTAGCTACTACCCTGACGTGGTCGGGCTTGCCTATCGTGATGACCCAACACAGCTATATTGGCTGCAATATATGTTCCTGAGGGTTTTACCATGCTAAGCAGGTCGATTGGAGAACGATGAGACTAAAAGCAGCTACTCAAGGTCTGAGGGCGAAGTCGTACTGCTGACTTCTGCAGAGGGGTGTGACAGCAGTAAGGCGTTTCCCTCGGAAAACCAGCATCTGCAGCGATGCTACTGCCTTCTCACAAGGAAGGAAGGGTTAGAAAAGGTCGACCGTAAAGATGTCACACCTCACCCAACCTCACGGATTTCCGTCTCTGTAGGTAAAGGTGCCCACTAAGGGCGTTTAAGAGCGGAGGGGTAAAGGATGGCTGTATCATTAATTCTCAATCCAGGAGACTGGACCGATGGGCAGAAAAATTTAGGGATCAGTTCAAATGGCCTTCAGCTACATTTTGGTTACCCACGATCTCTAGTGATCCTCGATGGGAGACCGACGTAAGTCCTCCGAATCCTTATGAAGTTGAGAAAGAGATAGGAAATCTGAAGCGAAAGAGTGCAGCAGGGCCTGATAGGCTCACCCCAGAGATTTTGAAGGATGGCGGTCCAGTTTTAGCAGCTAGGTTGACTGAGATCTTAGGTAGACTCTGGGAACTGGACACAATCACATCCGACTGGTCCCAATCTATAAGAAAGGACACAAGTCTTCTTTTGACAATCACAGAGGAATATGTCTAACTAATATAGTTTCTAAATTGTTAGCCTCGATTATACTTAGACGTCTAACTAAAGCTCGTGAAGAGCAGACTACAGAAAATCAGGCTGGTTTCAGACCTGGATGTAGCTGTATATGCCAAATCTTCACACTAAGACACGTCCTAGAACACAGACACACATTTAGGCGTCCTACAATAGTTGTTTTTCTGGACCTAAAAGCGACATTCGAATCTGTGGATCGTGAGGGTCTGTGGCAGTGTCTGTCATTGAAAGGTGTACCAAAGAAGTACATTAACCTCATACAAGCTCTTTACTCGAACACCACTGGTCGAGTGAGAGCTTATGGCAAACTGTCATTGGAATTCTCTACTTCAAGTAGTGTCCGTCAGGGATGTCCACTCTCTCCATTCTTGTTTAATTTTATCATAGACATGCTCTTAGAAATAATCTTATCCTTGTCTCCATTTTGAGGAGTAGACCTTCTACCAGGTGGCTCGCTAATTGACTTAGAATACGCCGACGACATAGTTCTACTTGCTGAAGACGCTGACAAAATTCAGAGTCTCTTGACTAACCTAATCAAAAATGTAAGCATGTTCGGGATGCGGTTTTCCCTCTACAAATGCAAAATGTTGCTTCAAGATTGGGTTGCTTCGGTACCTGAACTAGTCATAGGGAGTGAAGTAGTCGAGCGTGTTGACCGCTTCACTTATCTGGGAAGTCTCATCAGTGCTGATTGCCTGGTTTGTGACGAAATCTCAGCTCGGATACAGAAGGCTCGATAGGCTTTTGCCAAGTTGCGTCACCTATAGCGCAGGCGAGATATCCGTTTGCTAACCAAAGGACGAGTGTAATGTTCAATAGTTCGCTTCGTCCTACTGTACGGATGCGAAACATGGCTCGTTAGATTAGACGACATTCGTAAATTGTTTGTCTTCGATCATCGGTATCTCCGAAGCATTGCTCGTGTATCCTGGGAAAACCTTATAAGAAATGCTGTCGTGAGGAAACGAGTTCTAGGTAGGGATGGCAAATCAATAGATGCAGTAGTGAAACTTCATCAGTTGAGGTGGTTGGGACATGTGTTACGTATGCCTAACCACCGACTACCTCGACGAGCTATGTTTTGTGGTGTAGGAGTATGTTGGAGGAAAACTAAGGGTGGCCAAACCAAAACATGGCAGAAATCTATGAAGTCACTGACAAGTGGACTGAGTCATGTTGGTAGATGCAGACTATCTGGTTGGGGTCTTCAAGACGACAGTCACCAATGGTTCGAGACCTTGAACGACATGGCTCAGAATCGTTCGCAATGGCGCAGGTGCATCCACTCTTTGTGTGCTTTTTAATTCTAACCTTCTTCATTAATCATAATCTCTATCTTTCTCCTTCTAAATTTATCTGACTGAATTATACTTTTCGAATCATACCTTCTAACCCTAATCTTTTACATTACTGCTAATACTTCTACTATCGCTATCACTCTTGGTTTTGAACTGACAGTTGCCTCTGTGTGCTGATGTGGTACGGCAACCTGAACTGATGTTATTACGTACGAAGTTCTGCATTGTCTCTGTCTGTCTGTCTAATTACATTGTTTTCTAGCTGTGTAACCAAATGAACTTAAGAATTTATGAACAATCCACCATTAACTATTTGATTACTGATATAGATATGCATATAAAGAGTCAATCATCAGGAGTAACCGTATTAGGGGAAGATCATTTGACTTACCTTAGAAGTGTCCTACAGAATGAATGTATATGATTGGTCAAGAAATGCAATTTACTATTCAAGGGAAAAGAATGTGTACACATATAGTTCCGCTTCAAACCCTTCTACTGCAGGTCCTAATCCCGGATAAAACAGGAGGGTTGCGCATGCGGTTAGCGACCACTTCGAACATAAAACTAACTCGCTAAAATAAAACGTTTTCCAACAGACTAACTGATCTATTCAAGGTCGTCAGTAAAAAGTACACGGTTAGCGCAAATTATAAACTATTAGAAGAGAAAAGCGAATAAATTTTTTCGTCCGAAGGAGAGAATATTTTATTTATTGATTCAGAATTTAACGATGACAACTGACAAAATGTGAACAGTTGTTATTTATTTAACCAGCGAAGTGCATGATATTCAGTTAGTTGTTGTTAAAATATCGAAAACACATTTCTAGTACAATGCAATAATCGATATACACTGAAATCATCAATCAATCATTGCTAGACCACCAATTTTAGAAACCTGGAAGCCGTTTCGTCCTGGCATGGGACTTATCAGTGGCAGTGGGCATCCAGGACGCCTGCACCTCGCAGGATTCGAATCCAGGAACTTCGGTTTTGCACGAGAACACCTAACTTATGCACTGGTTGTTAGACCAGCATTAGAAACCTGGAAGCACTGAAAGACAGCCGTTTCGTCCTGGTATGAGGGACTCATCAGTGACAGTGGGCATCCACGACTCTTGTACCTCACAGGATTTGAAACCAGTATATTCGGTCTTGCACGCGAACGCCTAACTTATGCACCAGTATTAACTTGATCCAATTTCAATTCTATTCTATCTCATTTAAACAGTAAAGTTTCAATGAAGATCGATTATAAACAATGTGACAGAAAATGTATTTTTAATTAAACATATGATTCTTAATACAAAAAAGGCATCTAAATATCCATGTGCACGACAAAAATCAATAAATTCAATGTTTGGACTGGCATGTTGTTTAGGTACTGAAATCGAACCAAGTGATTTTCTTAAGAGACAACTCCTTGAGCAATCAACGTATCAGTGTAATCTATGAGGCAGTAGAGCAACGTGAAGAGATGAGATCACATTGTACCCGCTGATTAATAATAACTTCATTCACCATTCGTCCCCTCAGTATATTGGAGGTCATGCGTACCATTGGTTTGGAACAGGACTGCGTCGACGAGCAATGTTTTGTGGTGTAGGAGTAGGTTGGAAGAAAGCTAAAGTCGGCCAGACCAAAACATGGTACAAATCCATGAAGTTACTGACAAGTGGACTGAGTTATTTTGCTAGATGTAGACTACCTGGTTGGTGTCCGCGAGATGAAAGTCATCAATGGTTAGAAACCTTGAACGATATGGCTCAAAATCGTTTGCGATTGCGCAAGTGCATCCATTCATTGAGCTCTCTCAAATCCTAACCTTCTGGATTCGTCAGCACATCTACCTTTGTCTTTCTAACCTTATCTCACTGAATCATACTTCTTGAATAATATCTTCAAACCCTAGTCTTCTTCATTACCAACTAATACCTCTACTATCTTTATTACTATGGGATTTGATTTGATATTTGCGTCTGTGTGTTAATGTGGTATGGCAACATGAACTTATGTACATACGTACGAAGTTCTACGTTGCAACTGACTGTTTGACTGACAGGACTTATCCGACTCCGACGTGTCTACTCAATTAGTTTAAGCTTTTCGGAAATTCACTCTCCGTCTCCTCAATTTCCAAAAACGAAATCACCACCACGAGATGGTAGTGATTAAGAATTTCCCGACATTCAAGACTGTGAAGAGTTCGCTCTTACCCTCTTGAAATGACAATGCGTAGGTAGTCACTGGTCAGAGGAGGTGCTGTTTATGACATTAGGACGACGAAACGTGAACAACCAACCGGGGTATAAACCTAGTTAGTGGGTACAGAGAATCAATCTAGGTTTAGTTGGAAAGCCTTGATTCCAAACCAACGGTGTACATAAGCTCCAAGATCTTGAAAGAATAAGTGACATGTGAACCTATTGTTGCTTACCGGCTACCATGGGACCTCATCTCTTAATGTTGCCACAATGACTTATGGATTACATCTGTAGGTTAGAAGTTCAAACAGTTGCCTCGTAAGAAAACCACATGCATTGCGTTTTCGAAATCCGTGTGTATATCTCAGCCCACTGACACAAATTCAAACATTTGTGTGGTGCATAGCATAGATAATTTAGATTATCACTTTGTATGTAAAGTTTATGTGAATTAAAATATCTATCTACCTTGTGGATACTTCAATATCGAAACACCAACGTCTATCGATTGAATCAGTTGATCGTCGTCGACACGAGATGACATTTAATATTTCAGTATTCTTTTATGAAAAAGATACATATATATATTTTAAGAAAAAGTGTCTCGTACAGACATGTTAAACAAACTCCGAAAAAATATAAAAATTTCTGAAACTTTTATCTCATTAGAACATAATTCAGTAGTAAAATTCATTGAACAACGTACAGATTACAGGTAGTATGAACTTAAGATTCCGAAAATGAAGTCATACTGTAAAACAATGTGATGCTAGTAAGGTATCTCTATCAAACAGACACCAACTCATCCGAAGCTACTTCTACACACTAAACAAAAGTAGAAAAATCCGATCTCATAAAAATAGCACACCTCATGAACTCCCTTCATCAGCTATAGAGATGTTAAGACAGACAGACAAATACAACGTAGAACTTCGCACACAAGTACATCAGTTCAGGTTGCCATACCACGTCAGCACAGAGACGTAACTGTCAGTTCAAATCCAACAGTGATAGCGATTGTAGAATTATTAGCAGCAATGGAGAAGATTAGGGAGCGAAGATATGATTCGAGAAGTATAATTCAGTGAGGTAAATTAAGGAAGAGAAAGATAGAGATTATGAGGAATTCAGAAGGTTAGAATTTCATAGAACACGATTCTGAGCCATGTCGTTCAAGGTCTCTAACCATTGGTTACCCCAACCAGATAGCCTACATCTACCAACATGTTAAAGAACAGAGCTAACAGGTTAAGAATGATTATTTGAAAACGTTCACATGTAAATGAAGTTTATTAGTATCTCTGAAGCTTCGAGACTTAACTTTTAAGTTATCAATACTACGCTTAATGCAGTTTCCTGTCGAATGTTGCTCAACAAGCAATGCCATTCCATATGGCAGATAATCAGAAAAGCGACAAGTGCTCACATATCTCTCTAGAAGCACTCGAAAGTATTTTTTGTATTCAGACACTCATAACATGATTGATAATTCGAAGTGAAATAAAAATTCTCCAAAACCATATTTTACAACTTATTGTCAATGGAATTTACAGTAATATGTTTTCTCGTCTTTTCGCGTCTTTTTATAAAAACCGAATCGACTTTATGACTGACTCTACACACATAACCTTCACAATTACTAGTAGTAGGCACATTCCCTGAAACTCCAACGAACAATTGCTATTATGGTACACCATTTAAATGACCATATGTACATTTTTTTCAGATTTAGTGAACCCTTTGTTGTACATCAAAATATTCGTAGGTTGCTGGTTTACGATCATAGGTGTCTCCGAAGCATTGCTCGTATAGCCTGGGACAACCGAGTGATCAATGCTGTTGTTAGGAAACAGGTGCTAGGTAAGGATGGCAGATCAATAGATGAAGTATTGAAACTTCATCAGTTGAGGTGGTTGGTGCTACCTCGTTGAGCTATATTTTGTGGTGTAGGAATAGGTTGGAATAAAGCTAGAGGCGGGACAAATCCACAAAGTCACTGACAACTGGACTGAGTCATGTCGGCAGGTGTCGACTACCTGATTGAGGTTCGCGAGAGGAAAGTCACCGATGGTTAGAGACCCTGAATGACATGGCTCAAAACCGTTTGCAATGGCGCAGATGCATTTATTCTTTGTGTTCTCTCAAATCATAAACTTTTTAATTCTTCATCACTTTATCTTTATCTTTTTAAGTCTATTTCACTAGATTCTACTTCTTGACTAATATCTTTTAATCCTAACCTCTCCGACTACTGCTAATACCTCTACTACTATTGGATTTGAATGGACAATTACATCTCTGTGCTATGGCAAATTGAACTGATGTACGTACGTACGAAGTTATACGTTGCTGTTGATTGATTGACATCAAGAATGTATGACATTCAATGAAACAGTTAGCTCTTAACAACTAATTTATGAAATACAATACACATTAGGACGAATAAGTATCTGAATGTATTTTCACAACCACTTATCTTGATCCTGATAGGTCGATCCATTCAGGAAGAAGTAATATAATCTCATGTCGGAAATAGAGTTTGATGATTGTGTTAAATTCGACATCCATATGGTCATTTTAGTAGCCCGCCAACTGACGAACAGTTAACTATGCTATGAATTAAATCTCACCTTTAATTTCCGTATAACATACTTACGCGTACCTCATTTATTCGACGGCGGTAATAAGAAGCCGAATGCGGATTCGGTTGGATGAGTTTATTTCAAGCAGTCGTCTACGTAAACCATTGAAGCAGTATGAAGCGAAGTGCAGAAGGCGAGCAAGCCAATTCCCTGTAATAAGTCACGACTAAACGTTTATAGTCAGGCAAATATAAGCTAGCTATGCGATAAGCGAAGTAAGCGTCATGTACGCTCAAGCAGAAACGACTGAATGGATCAGTAAGTTCGGAAGACGTGTCCGTAATTACTCGCGAAGAATGGATCCGTCAAATTTATCCAAATTCTCGAAGCTAGGTCCTTTTATGGGCTCGACATCAAAAGCACACATATACTACTACAGTACAACATCTAATTCTAACCGTTTTATACATTCCGGACAATTAGAAATAAAACAGTATTTTTTTGTAGAAAATGCTCATCAACGGCCTATACGCTACATCAGAGCCGCTCCATCGACTTTGAACAAAGACAGTATGAATAAAATTGGGGGAAAAAATTTATCAACAGACTTACATTTTCATTATCTTGATATTGAGTATATGGTGTAAGTCTTAATATTTTACTATTACGATTATATGTACAGAAATTTTTTGTCCAAATTGTCATCACAGTTTCTACAATGGAGAATCAGAAGAGTTAAGTTTTAAAAAAACCGACACATAAAAAAATACGTCACAAATCAAAGAATCAATCAATGTTAGACCATCGATTAGAAACGTAGGAGCATTGGACAGCTGTTTCGCCCAAGTATGGTACCAAGACCGAAAGTCGTACATTCGATTCTCGTGAGCGCGATGAATGTGGTTGTGGGCTGCTGATGAATTTCATACTGGGATGAAACAGCAGTTCAGTGCCACTAAGTTTCTAATAATAGTCTAACATATATAGCCAAGTAAGCTTTCTCTATCACTTTAGCCTTTTTTTGGCTAAATTACTCAATAGTTTTACAGGTTGGCGCGCATCAAATTCAAATTTTGAGATATCGTCTATTAAAACAAAATACAGTAACCAAAATTCTAGTCAATTTAAATAAAACAAAAAGACAATTTAATTAGTTACACGTATCAATATATAATTAAATTTATGTCAACTAAAATGTTGAGATGATTAGTTGAGTTTACTTATCCAATGTTTATTTAATCTTAAGATGAAGACGAAATTCTTAGTATTAAACACATTCAATTCATTTGAAAAATCTATAAACACATTGACCTTGATAAGAAATTTATCATCAAATTAAAAACAATATGATCAGAAATCAATCCATTGTACAAGGTCATTATTTTATAACGCCATCAAAAGTGAACTAGATCAGCTTTAGTTTAGAGATTATTGAGATACTTTGAATACCGACCCATTGGTATAGATAGAAGTTAAGCTTTCGCATACACCTTCAAAGGTACTGACTGGGTTCGACTCTCGCAGGTAGCAGGAGTTATGAATGCGTACGTAATGCTACTGATGAGTGCCATCCATACTAGGATGAAACAGCCATCCAATGCTTCCACATTTCTAATGATGGCCTAAAACTGATTGATTTATGATTCCGAATTTTTAAAATAAGTGAAAAGTATACTGATGATGAGGTTAGTTTAGTTTACATTATTACCAATAAAATTAAACTTGAAACTTACTTTTTGTAGCAACAAATAAATAACCTTCACGTGTATCAGTCAAATGTGTAGATTGTATTTGTTCCCATGGTGTATTCAATAGTTTCTCAGTTAAAGTTTTACTTTCTAAACTAATTTGTTCATAATTTTCACTAGACTTAATAAGCATGAAATTTAAAATAAAAAAATAGGGAAGTGAAATGAAAAAGAATAAACACACATTACATTAATGTAAGTATTGAAATTGTACTGACTCCACACATACATTTGAGTTCTTACTTACTTACGCCTGTTACCCCCAATGGAGCATAGGCCGCCAACCAGTTTTCGCCAACAAACTCAGTCCTCCTGGGCTTCCCTTTCTAGTTCTTTCCAGTTTTTGTTCATTCCTCTCATGTCTTTCTCTGTTTCTCGGCGTAATGTGTTCCTTGGCCCTCCTCTTTTCCTTTTGGCTTCAGAGTTCCATGTGAGAGCTTGTCTCGTGATGCAGTTAGGTGCTTTTCTTAGTGTGTGTTCTATCTACTTCTACCGCTTCTTCCTGATTTCCTCCTCCACTGGAATCTGGTTTGTTCTTTCCCAAAGTAAGTTCTTGCTGATAGTTTCTGGCCAACGAATCCGAAGTATTTTGAGTAGACAACTGTTCATAAATACTTGTATCTTCTGGATGATGCCTTCCGTAGTTCTCCAAGTCTTCGCTCCATACAGTAGAACTGTCTTCACATTTGTATTGAAAATCCTGATTTTGGTGTTGATTGATATTTGTTTGGAGTTCGCTTATATTAAAAGTGGGTTAAGCCTTTTGATTAACTTATTTAACCAAGCCATTTGTATAGCAACAATTTATATATACCATTGGCTCACTCGTTAGCTTGTTCGCCTTTCTCTTCGTGTGCCTGCGGTTTGTGGTCTATTTGTGGTGTGCCAAAATAAACGTATTTAACACTTCGTGCTCGCCTTCTGATTTATATAAACCGTCAGACACTATTTAGGGAAGGTTGTCTGGACGAGTAAATTACGAATTCTGAAAACACGTTGGATATCGATCGTCACCATAAAATGAACATCAAAATAAATTCAATCAGTCTATGAAACGAGTTTTTGACCAGAGAAGATAATCACCGTCGAGAATTACATTTTATTGTGAGCCAATCAGAAAATGAATATTCTTCTATATGAACTACTAATGGAGGTTGAGGAGAGACACAAATATTACGAAACGTACAATGTGCTAATAAGTGACTTGCTTCCTGAGGAGATTCTCGAAGTCATAGTGATAAGATGTAACCAGCGGAGTTCAATCCTGTTCGGTTGTAGGCAGCCATTACAGAAGAAAATAGGTGAGGTTGTGCAAAATCCTTAGATTAATCAATGTTAGACATTACCACTGTTGGATGGCGGTCCAGTGGTTCAGAAGTTAGGCAAGACCGAAGGTACTGGGTCCGAATCATGCGAGTAGAAGGAGTCGCAAGTGCGCGCAGTTGGTGAACCCCATACTACAGAAAAAAATGGCTTCCAGGTTTCTAATGTTTGGCTAACAATGATTGATTCATGTTATCAAGGTAATACTACCATCCCCATACCATTCTAATGCATAATAAATAACCCTCACAAGGAGGCATATAAGTTTTCTTGGATGTTGGCTTTTCCTATCATCATGAAGCAGAATTCACATGGCCTTGGACTGTTCACCCACTAGCAGAGAAACTGGGTTTTGTCTACGTCGTCGTGAGACAGATTATTTTTAACCTGTAAATGACTTTGAACAATGTCGATAAGGGAAATCAGTAAATTAGAATTAGTAAATCAGAAACTTCGAAAGAAAGATTGGCTCTGGAGGCCAAGTCGGACGGGCCAAGATCAGATACGTGTCGGTTCATTTGGAGGCTGAATTCTTTGCTGATTTCGATGCGAATTGTGGAAAGGTTACTAGATTCTGACCCGGGCCGTTCGTAGGCGGTTCCAGCTGTTAGTGTCGTACAGCTGGCAACACGCGAAGACTTTTTCCATGTTGCGTCAAGCGGCTATGATACCATTTTCTAGCACGCGACAGCTAACTCAGAACTGGTACGGACCAAGGAAATCTCCCTGTCTAATTAAAACAAACCGATGCGATGTACACTGATTTGTATTTTGACGCCGTGTGACTTCTTTCCAATGCTCTGAATGTCAAAAAAAACAGTAGGATCATACAGCTGCCGTTCTGTTAGAATACTACTGCAAACATGTGCACCATTCATCTGGAGTCGGACTTTCTCCAGTACACCAAGATAGATCCTCTGTATCCACAAACCAGAATACAGTACCCTCGAAACATTCGCACTTTGTGCTTTTAATTTCGCAAACAACCATCTCTACCACGGAAAAGGCACTAAGAAGTACTTCCCCGACAGTCGCCATAAACAGATGGTCTTACGAAATCATTTGGAAAGTGAGACAGAGAGAGAGAGAACACATTCTGCCAACTATCAGCTATTATAGATTACTCAAGGATTAATTATTCAAGTCATAAATGACAAGAACTGTTTGTCTGCATAACTCCCAACCACTAATTAATTCCAAACAATCAAGTGGAAAGACAAGATATTACAACTTAAACACACGTAAATATTAAAGTATAACTGAAGCAAATGCACACCAACACACACACCCACATTAAGTAAACATTCATTTATAACATACACGTTGTGCAGCTTGAAGTATTTGACTAATTTGATGTGATGAATCTTTGAATTGTTCAAATGCTTGATAATAGAAATTCGATAACATTCGCATAATTAAACTTATCTAAAAAGGAAAACATCGATAAGCGTAGAAAAGAGAGAGAAAAAGGGCATGAAAATATTTCAGTGAATGAAAATTTTTAATTTTTCCATAAAAAAACTGATGATTGAGATAACAATTAGCTAGATTAAGCAAAATACGATGATGCGACCTGGAAAAATTGATGTTTTAAATGATAATTGATGATAGAACTTCATTCGTATGTATATCAGTTCAGGTTGACATACAGCACTAGCACAGAGACGCACTTATCAATTCAAATACCATAGTGGTAGAGAAGTATAGAAGTATATGCAGTAATGGAGAAGATTAGGGATAAGCTTAGAAAGACAAAGATAGAGATGATGAGCGATTCAGGTTAGAATTTGAGAGAATGAACGCACCTGCACCACTGCAAGCGAGTATGAGCCATATCGTTCAAGATCTCTAACCATCCGTTACTTTAGCGCCGCAGACCTTAACCAGGTAGTCGACATCTACCAACATGATTCAGTCCACTTGTCAGTGACTTCATGGATTTGTGCTATGTTCTGGTTTGAACGCCCCTAACTTTCTTCCAACCTACTCCTACACTACAATACATCGCTCGTCGAGGCCATCGATGGTTGGGCATACGTAATACATATCCTAACCACATCAACTGATGGAGTTTCACTACTTCATCTATTGATCTGCCATCCGTATAGTAGGACAGAGCGAACTACTGCACAGTACACTCGTCCTTTGGTTAGCAAATGAATATCTCGCCTAAGCCATAAGTGACACAGGTTGGCAAAAGCCAATCGAGCCTTCTGTATCCGTGCTGAGATTTCGTCACAAACCAGGTCATAAGCACGGATGAGACTCCCGAGATAAGTATAGCGATCGACACGCTCCCTATTACTAGTTCAGGTCCCGATGTAATCCAATATTGAAGCAACATTTTCCATTTCGACGGGAAGAACCGCAACCCGAACATGCTTGCATTGTTGCTTAGGGTAATCAGAAGACTCTGCATTTTGTCAGCGTCTTCACCGAATAAGACTATGTCATCAGCATAGACAGCAGGAAACTATGAATCTACGGTTTCGTCGAAACTCACACTAACAATGCTATACGTGAAGCGTTGAGGGAATCGACGATGTTCACTTGGTGTTATAGTGGCTGCTTGCGTTAAATACAAAGTAGAGCTCAACACTTTAGTGCACCGTGAGCTGAATTCAATATTCAGCTTTCTTTCAATTTACATATCATACTTGGAAGCGAACCATGTCTATGCGACGGCGATAATAAGAAAACATGCAATGGTTTACACAGGCAGACATGAGAATATCAAGAGTTAAAGCAAAGTGAAGAGAAGTGGACAAGGCTGAAGAGCCAACTCAATGTAATGAGACATGAATATACATTCATTTAAGTCGGACATACGATAAGCGAAGTAGGCGTACACACACGCATACACTCAAGTAGAAACAGCCAAGGTTATGAGCTCATGATAGACAATGTCAACGTCTACAATCAAACTTCAGAGGTTAAGCGTTCGTAAGCAATGTCAAAAGGTCCTTGGACTGAATACTATGAGTAGCATGTGGCGTGGATGCGCACAGCCGATGATGAGTCCTGGTACAAGGACGAAATGGCCGTTGTTCAGTACTCCCAGGTTTATAATGGCAGTCAAACAATGACAGACAGACAGACAAATACAACGTAGAACTTCGTACATAAGTACATCAGTTCACGTCGCCATACCACATCAGCACAGAGACGTAACTGTTAGTTCAAATCCAAAAGTGATAGGCGATAGCAGAATTATTAGCAGCAATGGAGAAGATAAGGGAGCGAAGATATGATTCGAGAAGTATAATTCAGTGAAATAAATTTAAAAGGGGAAATATAAAGATTATGATGAATTCAGAAGGACAGAATTAAAAAGCACACAAAGAGTGGATGCATCTGCGCCATTACAAACGATTCTGAGCAATGTCGTTGTTCAAGGTCTCTAACCACTGGTGCCATTCGTCTCGCGGACCCCAACCAGGTGTAACCTACACTTACCAACAATGATTCATTCATGATTTCACTTTAAACAAACAAAGCTTGACTATAAAGCTTCGCTGATTACGTAACAACAACCTAATACACAGTGCTAATAATTTATTTACATAACAATATGTGAAGAAAGATATGCAGTGTATACGTATTAGTATTCTTCTATAAATGGAGATGAACTGATACGCTAATGCGTCATCAGCAGGATTAATGCGGATTGAAAGAATTTCACTTTTTTGTTTTAATGATCAAAAACAGTAGACACACACACAGTTACACGTGAATTACATATAATCATAAACATTAACATAACAAGGTCACTGGTACACAAAACAACATCAATAATAATAATAATAATAATAATAATAATAATAATAATAATAATAATAATAACAATCGATCTTATGTGTGTAAATCATTGAACATTGAACAGTGAAAATTGAACATATTGACATAATAATAATAATTCAAACAAACAGGTATGCTATTTTCCACTAATTAGATGAAATTAATAAAAAAGAAACAGATGAACTTGACAAGTGTATATAGAAGAACCACAACAATATGCAGATTTTCAACAACCACAACGGAATTCATTTTAAAAATTAAAGATGAATGAATAGTATCGAATTGGAATAAATTTAGTAATTAAAAAAATGATTGTTGAATTGTTAATTTTGTTTATAAACAGAAAGAAAAAAACTTTTTAGAGCAATCTAACAAAAAGATAATCGATACAAAGTAATTGCACTGCGGAGTTGTTGTGAAGATTGTTAAGTTTTATTTGTAACCATGAATCGATCAATGTTGGACCACCATTAGAAGAAACCTGGAAGCCCTGGACGGCCGTTTCATCCTGGTATGGGTTCATCAGCAGTGCGCATCCACGACTCCTGCACCCCGCGGGATGATGAGTACCATACCAGGACGAAACGACCGTCCAGTGCTGCCAGGTTTCTTCTAATGGTGGTCTAACATTGATCGATTCATAGTTACAAACAAAGTAATTCAGTTAGTAGTATATAGACCTGAAATGTACTGCTGCAGCTGCTAAGAGTGGGAAGTGTTCGGTCAAACCTCACGAAATGCTCTGATATGGCCACGTGAACATAGCGATTGACAGCGAAGTTCTACTCGCTTCGTTCGCCTATAGCCGAAGTCTTGTTTAAATAACTGAGAAGAAAATTCGAATATTCATCTGAAGCTTCAATCACGTTGGTTGGTATAGAGTGATCCCCGACCGTAGCTGCTACCTTGACGTGGTGGTCGGGCTTGCCTATCGTGATGACCCAACCGAGCTATACTGGCTGGAACATATGTTCCTCAAGGTTGTACCATGCCAGGCAGGTCGATTGGAGAACGATCAGACTAAAAAAAGAAACTTAAGGTCTGAGGGCGAAGTCGTACGGCTGACGGCAGAGGGGTGTGACAGCAGTGAGGTGTCTCCCTCGGACAACCATCATCTGCAGCGATGCTGCCTTCTCACAAGGAACGAAGGGTTAGAAAATAGTCGGCCCTTAAAATGTCACACCTCCCCTTACTCACGGATTTCCGTCTCCTTGGGTAAGGGTGCCCACTAAGGGCCTTTAAGAACGGAA